TGGTTTTTGTCTTTGTTATCCTCTGAATCTATCTCCTTAGTCTTGTACTTTTGGGAATAAAATAAAAAGAAGTCTGAATATTAGTTTCTTATGTTATCAAATTTTAATGGCCCTATCTTCTGCAACATTTTGAAGTTGTGCTCTCAGTGGTGGATTGATCATCACTCTTTGGGATGTGATATATGTAAAGTTTAATTCAAAATGGCCTTTAAGTATTCTACATTAAGTTTTGTGGAAGATGATGAACAAGATGATAAAAAGTCTACTGGTATCTTTAAATTTGTTCTTTTTGATAAGTCAAGGGTAAGGTGGCAACTTGTTTACTAAATTTTATTTCTTTTAACCTCGTGTGTTTATTTTTAACAACTGAATCAAAATTTATTTGTGTTGAGACTTTTAAAAACTTTTCCATAAAAAATTTATGCAAATTTATACCCTAATAATTTTTTTCAAATTTTTCATTCAATTTTTTTATTAGATATGCAAATTTATTACAAGTATTTTTCCATCTATAACATTTAAGGAATTATTAAATTTACCTTAAAAAAACATTTTGTTGCTCTATCAGCATGTAGTTTTGTTTTTGTTTTTTGTTTTTTGTTTTTTTCTATTCCTTGCATTTCTAATTTTCTTTCCATCTAGTTTGCTATTTTATCTTGCATTTTATGTATGCTTTATTTTTTACATTTTCTTTATTTATTTGACTAATAATTAAATAATGCTTAATATTGATTTGAATGTTGAAGTACAAGTAATTATTGAAACCTTCTTAGCCTAACAAAGAAGAGATTCCAAAACAAATTTGTCAGGTTTTGGGAATTTGTTTGGTCTGAAAACCTTTTAGCACACCCTCATGTTTTGAGAATTGCTTACATCACTAAGTCTTTAAAAACTGTTTCAAATTACTTTCTACATTTTGCTTTTATTTAATTTTTTTAAATTTAAGAAACTGCTCATTGGCAGTGGATGTATATTTGAGAAAAATATGTAATGCATTGTTCTATTTCATTTTAAAACTATAAAAAAATTTTAGAATATTCAAAACCATCCTGAAAATTGACTATTATGAGAATAAATGAGCAACAATAATTATAAAATGCACATACCTTCAGTTTTAATTTACATAAGCATAAATTTAACAATTTTGTAATATGGATATCTTTTTGTTTCTTTTTCTCAGATTGAAAATGTTATATTTAATTAGTTTGAATTCATGTTATTAAATTTGTAATGTCTTGCATTTATTTTGAGGATGGACATTGAGCATTTTATGGCTTAGTTTCAAATAATTTTATCCGATCAGCATAGGATTCTGGTGTATATGTCTTTGCATTAAAATTATACAAAGTTGAGACAACTGCATAAAAAGGGTTCTCCTCTGATAGCAAAATATCAATTTCTCTATTGTCTCATTAATGGTGGTGCAGAATATCTGTGCTAATTGTTTGCTAATGTTCTAGAAAAAATATGTCTATTATTTTGACTGAGAGTGATTAACAGTAGCATAGTCTTGATAATAAATTGGGAATTGTCATCAGTCACTGAGGCTAACATGTTAGCAATATCTCATTTTAAACTATTAAAGATTTCTACTGTGGAATCTCCAAGAGGGGAAATTCCTAAACTATATCTATTGGATGGATTTTTGAAAATTGCTGTAGTCACCTTAAATAATGCAAGAACATTCCACTGGTTCTGTGCAAAAGAGGCATATCAATCTTGTGGATAAGTCCAATTGCTTGTGCATTATTCCCACTGAAAGGCAACTTTAAATTCTCAGTCACTGCCATGTGCAACTAGAATGGATGCAATTTATATAGGGATCCATTTCTACATTTACTGATACGGTGTAAAAGTTACAACCCCAACAAAGATTGACTATCAAACAGTTTATAAAGCTGGTCAAGATTTTTTAGCTGTGATATTGTTTCTTTGCAAACCAATATCTCATTCTTAGGTTTTTATATAAATTCTTTATTGAATTTCTAGTAGTTTTGTATGTGCTTGAATTTACCAAATATTTACATACAGCTGTAGAAACAAAATTTATCAGTAAAGCTAATTTGTCCACTTCTCAGGCTTTAATGGTCATTAAGAAATTTATAAATTTCATGTATATTAGCATGTACATATGCATGCAGTTTTCAAGTATATATCCATTATACTGGATATATACTTGAAAACTGGTAGTGTAAATTGTCTACTTAACTAATTTTATTTGAAATCTTTACACAAGCAAGTTACAAAGGAATTCATTTAACTAAATAATCACACTCCTCTCTATATACTGACTATAGTAGTAGTAGCATTAGTAGTAACAACAAATACAAATTCACATAAACACTGGACTATAAGTTTTTCTTTTGGTTCTTTGTCCTTTTAACTAATTTGTACAGCTTATACACAAAACATTTAAATAATATTGGATATATTTTCACTGATTATCCTGATTTCTCATATTTTTTAATGTTATTTGTTATCATTGACATAAACAACTACAGTCACTGTCAAATGGGTATGAATGACTAAATCAGCAATTTTTCCAACTAATTGCTTACTGAACAAATTACTAAAATTGTCAAGGCATGTCATTGTTTTTATGGTGAAGTCTTAAAAAAAAAAGAATAAGTACAGTATTTAGATTTCTTCTTTTTTCTTTTTTTTTTCAAATCAATAATAGAAATTGTAATGATTGTTCTAATTAACTAATTTTGAACTAATGCTGTTGATGGATATGAAAAGATTATAAAAATTATGTTCGCAGTTCCTCATAAATTCCTGATATACACTTGAATATTCTTCACATTTTATGTTGATTGAAAAATAACTAACTGAATGAATGTCAACAGCTGTAGAAAGCTATTCTCAATCAACACATTGTTTTCTTTATCATCCACAAGATGTGATATTTTAGAAAAAAAAAGTTAGTAAATGATAGATTTCATGTTATAAGCCAACAGGTAAATTAGTAGATTTTAGCAATTATTCTGTTATCAAAAGTACTGTTTTCTTCAATTATTTTTTCCCAGCCAAAAACATGATAGGAGTAAAATGAGGTGAAATTGGCTAAAAACACTCACAGTACTGAGCAGTTAATCAGATGACAGAGCCATCTGACAAGTGAGAGTAGGAATTATTATTATGTTATTAAATTCTTTAAATATTCAGTCACTAGGTTAAAAGTTCAGTTGCTTGATTAGCACTCTTATTTATTTTTTATCCTTATTAAATAACAGGTTCCCTTTGTATCAATATAAAATTGTTTGGGGAATTCTGATTTTATTCAGTATAGTTTCAACAAGCAATTTAAAAAATTACTTAACTTTCAGATAATTATTAAAATAAATTAAAAAGTGAATTGAACACTTTATTTTTTTTTTAAAATAAGCTTCTTTGCTGACATTAAAGTTATCAACTATTATAAATTTCCTAAAATTATTTCTGCATACATTCATACATAAATATATTGATGTCCACAGCTGCTGAAAAAAAAGTATCAGCTATATCCATGAAGACAGTTATTTCTTAACCTTTAAAATGTTTTTAAAGTTATTGCTGTTAAAGAATTGAAACAGACTTACCAGTATTTATATCCAGAAAATTTTAACTTTTTTTTTTCTTTTTATGAAAACCAAGATTATGTATAATTTGTCTACCCATCTCCTTTTTGTTACAAACCAAAATACTCAAATTAAAACTTCTTTGATATCATCTTTTTCATATGAAAATTTCTTGCAAACAAATCCATATGTTGGTGCATTTAGGAATACTTATTTTTTATGATTTTTTTTTTTTTTTTAAATGAGAAATAAAGAATACTTTTGGTAAAAAAAATTTTTTAAATATAGACTTTTTTCTTTACAGAGGTAAAATTACAAATTAAAATATACATGAATTCTAAATGAAACATTCAATTATATGATTTTAAACAGTTTTCTTGAAATTCTCATAGCTAATCTTGGCTAAATACCAGAAGAAATTCACAAGTATTTAACTGATTCATATTGATAGTTACACATACATTAAAAAATAATTTTAATTATCTTATGTGCAAAATCTTGCACAAATTAAAAAATAATTTCTTTTGAGCTCAAAAGATATTTTAAAATTGTTAGTTGAATATTCTTTACTGTTGTTTAATGTTGGTATCTTGTTATGCTAAACTACATTTGTTAGTCAGATAAAGAAAATAAATTACTCCTTGGCCAAAGCAACATTTTTTTTTTCTTCTAACCTTTATTGAATCATTCTTTTTCACCTCAATCCTAGTGAATTCAGATTTGTTAATTTTGGTTTAGTTTTTTAAAAAATGAGCACTAAAAAAGCTCAAGTTATTTATTAATATTTATATAGAATGAAAATTGAAAAGAAAATTAACTATTTAGCGAAAAAGTATACAACCAAAGTATATTTTTTCCCAGCAACATAATAAAATTTAGCAAATATACAATTCAACTTTTTTATATTATCAACACATTCACTAAGCATATTGAAATAATTTATATATGTTTTAGATTTGCATTATAGTCAAAGGCTATGTCTATCATTATATACATTACATTATCTAGTATTTAAGGACCTTGGTCCTTTATGGGGAAATTATCATATTTATTTGTACTTTACTAAATTTGCTGGCATAGATTTCAAGTTATTACAAGTATGTGTGTCATATGTTATAAAATGGGGTATATGATCCTGGCAGAGTTTTAAATTATTGACAATTGGAAAAGATTCATGAAAGTATATTGTTTCAAAAATATATCTGATTATGCATTTTGCCATTTAGACTTCATCAGATTGATTTTTTTTTTTTTTTTCCCCACTTTCGATCTGATGAAACCTAAACAGCAAAATGCATAATCAGATATATTCAAAACAATGTACTTTTATAAACATTTTCCAATTATCAATATATATATATATATATATATATATATATAGTGTGTGTTTTTTTTTGTTTTGTTTTTCAAATAATCTTAATTTTCTTCATTATTTTATAGTTACTTGAGGATGAACAAAAAGACAAGAAAAAAACCCGACCAAGACCATCATCAATGATTCAACTGAATGCTGTAAGGATTCCTTAAAATATCATCTGACACTTTGCCTCCAAATTTTTTATACAAATTACATCTTACATTTATTGGCCACTTTTAATGTTTTTAGAAAATTAATGAAGGGATTTCATGAAAATATTTTCACTATTAATATGCTGGATATTTCACACAATATATATAAATTAGAGTAGACAAGATGTCATTCTGACAATATGACAACAGTTTTATGAATTTTACCAGATTTTCCAAGTTTCACATGATTTGCTAGGTTATTGAAACTCCAAGAAAAATTATATTGTAATTAAAAATTATAATTTCAAAACATGTTTACAAATAAAATGTTTTGAAAATAATATAGAAAGTAGCATCATTGTAATAATCACATATTTATAAATGACAACCTTAATCTTCACTCAACTGGCCATCAAAGGTAACATTGCATTTATTGGTAAAATGATGTATTAGAAAATCAGTCTTCATGTATTCTGTTGCCCATTTCATTTGATTTTTCTCTAAGGGTGTCTATTATGAGTGATCAATCTCACATGTTTTGACACTTTATTTAGGACCTAACTTTGTGTGCTTTTTAAAACATTCTTGCTGCAGCTACCACACTTGATGATTTCATACCATGACAAAGATTTTATAACTTCTACATTGCTACAAAATGCACATTGGCAACATAAAGTCTTCAATTTGCCTTTATTGGACATACATTGCAGTCATCCAGAGTTTTCAATAAACATCTTCAATTTGGTGATACTTCAACATTTCCACCAACATTTTACTTTTGCATGATCTGGAATTGTTAAACATTTCTCTTTATCTACCAACTCATTTTAAAGCTTCAAACATGCAATATGGCTATTAATTTGGGATTTTAAAATGCCACACAAATGACTGGCATTCATTTATATCTATGCAGATCATGCTAACTACATTCAATAAGTATATAAGTAATTAACTTGTATATTGATAAAACAGGAAGTGGCTAATAATCTTAAATGTGCAACTTTGTGCGTGTGTAATAACAAACTTTGCCCCATTAATGGTGATCATCAGGCAATACAAAGTAATAAAGTCAGCTTTGTTGATCATCTAAATATGCCCACACATGTGAACATCATTCACTAATTAGTGGGAGTGATAGTATAAGAAATAATTATTTTTATGTCTGCATTTAAAGATTGTTCAATAGAAGATTTGATATGATCTGCTCCACAAATATTTAATTTCTCTTCAACACAAATTACATCTTTTGGAACCTTCCATGCATGCAAATCCCTTTTTTTACAAATTTACCCTTCACCTCAGGCATTCATCCATATTTGTCTTTCTGTTCTCACCCACCACCCAAATATATCTATCTCAATGGTTTTATACTCTTTTAATAGTACTTAAAGAGAGCTTATAATTGAAAATCTCTGCTCTCAAGATATCTGTTGCTCCAATATATGCCATATCAGACCTGTCATTTGTCTTCACAATAGTTTAGTAAACTACATTCTGTATCAAACATTCTCCTTCCAAAAAACAATTATTTTCTTTACTTTTATGAACTTTTCTGAAGGCAAATTAGTGGCCTGATGTAATATACATTGGAGCTATCAAAAGGTACTAGAAGCAGTTTTCAATCATAAGACTTCTTTACATAGGAGCCATGAAAACAGCACAACTTTGAATATATATGGAAATAAGGACAAATGTAAATGACTGAGGTAAAATATATTTTTATTTTTTTTTTTTTTAATTTTCTTGCTTGTACTAAAGGTTCCACATATTATTTGTATTGGGAATTGAAATTAAATATTGTTTCCAAAGCTGTATAGATTATTCATTGTGTGAAACTTGTAGTTGCAGTATTAAAGTCATAATTTTACCTATTGTTCTAACTTTTTGCTTGTATTGAGCACTCTTCAATTATGAGAACTCTCACCAGCTAAAACAAAAATGCAGGTTATCAACAAATACATCCCTTTATCTGAAATGTTTTGATCATTTTTTTTAACAGTAGAATTACTATTTTAATTTTTTTTTTCTATTCATAAAATGAGCTAACAATAATCTCCAATTTGTTATAAAATAATGCTCAAATAAAAATTTTATATACTATTCTAGTATCTTAAAAATGGATATTTTACTATAATTTTCTTTGTATAAGCATGTGTAGCCATCTCCATTCAACATGAAAAGTTTGATTAAGAATATTCACTATTTTTAAATAATTAGGTTTATCAATATATACTATAAAATTGAAATGAATTCTTCCATATTTAAAAAAAAAAATGAAAAATTTCAGTAAAGCCCATTTTAATGTAGTATTACTAATGCTCTAAAGTTTTCATAATGTCTATTGTTAACAAAGCACATTTATATAATAAATGTCAGTGTGTCACATTTTTTCAATTAAAGGGACACAACTTTCAATAGCTCACCACCTTCATTGAAGTTTTAAAAGGTAAGCTTAAATATTAATGGAATACTTAAATGCAGCGATCAATTTTGAGTGCTTCTGTAGTTTATTGTTGAATCTTTTCCTCCTTCCCTATTATGTTGAAGAGCTCTCTACAGGAGCTACCTTAAATGCTGCCCAATAGATAGTGTTTAATAAATCAGAATATTTAAAATTTATTTTTATTAATTAGTTATTTCACATTTAACTAAAGATTCTTTAAAAGTTTCTTTTTAGAAAAATTCCATTCCAATAAGTTACAAATACAAATGTACTCTGATACTCATTAGTTTTAGATTAATTAACCAACTCATTGTAGAGACCATATTAGGACATATGAATCAACAATGTAAAAAATCATAAACATATAATATTAAGTTTGAAAGTTACAACAGCAGAAAATATAGTTCAGCTAATTATAGGATTATACATATTACTATGTATTCCAAACTATATTTTTTCTTCAATATATCTAAAAGTTTTTATGTAGAGCTTGACGAAACATAAAAAATGGTACCAAATTTATCTTGCTAGCTCAATTTTTCATCTTGACTGTGATTGGGCCAGAAGCCCATTTTAATAGTATATATGTGAAGATGTAGGCTTCAAACAAGTGAAAAATCATAAACGTAATGTCATTACATAATAAAAGAAAGATAATACTAATGAAATTGATAATAGACAAGACCAGCCTAAACAGTGGGGGAAAAATCATATTCTGTCCTAAAAACAGTGCAAAAATAACACCGGAAGGCAACTTTGACCATTCATATAAATTTCAATTCTACAGTTACGTCATTGAAACTTCTTAATGTTTCATAGTATGTTAGAGATTAAGCTAAATTTTTTTTTTCACAGGAGTACATCAGTAAAACCACTCTTATTTCATCATGTAAGTACAGACAGAAGCAAAATTTGATAGGGCAAAAAAAGGTAAAAAAATGTACCTTTTTGAACATGCTGTAAAAATGTATCTGGTGGAGATACGAGCCCAAAGCTTTGAAATTTTATACATTTTGGATGAGGAATTCAACAAAATAGTTATTTTAAAACATTTTCTTATAAATGTATTTGATTTTTTTTTTTTTTTTAAATTTACACAAAAATTCACTTTCCAAAAAAGGACTGACATCAAAACTTTGAAACTGTTATACAAGGAATCAGTGGTTGATTTTTTTTTTTTTTTTTTTTTTTTTTTCAAACAAATGCTTATTTTAAAGCCTTAAAATTCAATTTTTAAATTTAAAAAAAAATTGTAATGAATAAAACTATATGCATTGGAACTGATAAAGACTTTCTGGGAAGTTTGAACTGCCCTATTGCATTGAAATCCTCCTAATGGTGATTTGCAGTCTGAATTTCTTTATAGGCTTCTATAACCAATATTTCTGGAACATTTCAGATTCTACCATCACTTGAAACTGGCATTACACCCAAGTATATCTTAAGACAAAAGTTGACTTGACCTGTGCAATGTCATCCACAAAAGGCCATTGGAAATAATCATGTCTACCCTTAGTTGGAGCTAGAAACTTGATTATTGCACTGGTTGGAGATGTAATGTCAATGACTTGGCCAATGTAGAAACTGGAATCATAGTATACAGCAATCTATTGGCCTTGTCCCTCATATCTGATATGGTTTTTCTTCATCACATCTACCAGAGTTACTCACTGTAATGTAATTTCAGTGACAGTGAGTTCATCAGCTACAAAAAAAGCATCATGGGGAAAAAATCTAAAAAGGCTCTTCAGTCATCTTCTTTAGTTGCTAAAATTTTCTTGGCTGTGTTAAATGTTTGTTGAACTTGCTCCATCAATCTTGACTGTTCCATCCTTGTATTAGGATAGTTTGCAGAACCATGTAAAAACCTACAAGTAAAAATATGCAATTCTTCTATCACAAAAGAAACAGGGGGAAAAAAAGAAGAGTGCTCCTTAAAGATTTTGTGAAAAGAATTTTCATTGTTAAATTGTCCTCTAAACCTGTGAGCTCCTTGCCTATTTAAGTGCTTCCCTCATGGTCCTTAAAACCATAAAAGTTACAGAAGTTTGGCTATAAAAGAGATGAGACCTCACCAGAACTGCACTCAGATTAATGGATGTTAATGCTGTACCATTAAGCCCCCACCTTTATCCAACACTGATTTTTATGTTCTTTTCAAAATATATCATCACAATAACACTGTTTTTTTTTTCCCAACCTTTTTTTTTTTAACTACATCAGCAACATTTTTTTTTTTAAGGGTCATTTTTTTAAGCAACCTTTGTTTTTTTTAAAAAAAACATCAACCTTTTTTTTTTTTTTTGTTTCAACCTTTTTTTTTTTTTAACTACATCAGCAACTTAGATTTTTTTTAACTTTTTTTTTAACTACATCAGCAACCTTTGTTTTTTTTAACTACTTCAGTTTTTTTTTAACTACATCAGCAACCTTTTGTTTTTTTTTTAACCTTTGTTTTTTTTAACTACATCAGCAACCTTTGTTTTTTTTAACTACATCAGCAACCTTTGTTTTTTTTAACTACATCAGCAACCTTTGTTTTTTTTAACTACATCAGCAACCTTTGTTTTTTTTAACTACATCAGCAACCTTTGTTTTTTTTGGGACATCAGCAAAACAGTTTTTTTTAACTACATACCATCAATATTTGTTTTTTTTTACATCAGCAATTTTGTTTTTTTAACCATTTTTTGTTTTTTTAACAACAGGACTGACAACCTTGTTTTTTTAACTACATCAGCAACCTTTTTGTACATTGCAAAACTTTGGGATCTTCTTTGGCCTGCCTCTTTCACTTACAAAAAAACAATCTCTCAGGACGTTTAGTTGATCATCCACTGAACAGATTTTAAATATTTATTATAAGTACATATAAATTTAAAAAAAGTAGTCCCCAGGCATAGAAAGCACTAAAAAAAAAAAAAGACACCTGTGATATTGGGAAAAGAAGAAATAAAGAAAAAATTTTACAAAATAAATGTCTTACATTTTATAAGTTTAAGCTTTCACTTTATAAACAAAAATAAATCAATCAAAAAAATTCCATAAAAATGAATGAACTGAAAGTTTTTTAGGTTTTTTTTTTTGTTTTTTGAATGGCAATGTTTGCTCTTGAATTGCTATTGTTGAATTAGATGTTAAAATGTCCTGATAATTAAAATTTAAAAATATGCTTAAAGTAAAAAATTACTTTGAAATAAAACATACTTTCAACGTTTTAAAAAGAAAAAAAGTAAAATTTACTAATTACCAAAAATTAATTATTCAAAATAAATTTGGTAGAAGAAAAAATTTTCTGATGCTAAAAGTAAAAAATATCTTCCAAGAAATATCCATTAAAATACAAAAAATGTTTACTTTTAGAAGTTATATATGTAATTTTTATGGACCCACAATAGTAGGTCAGCTGAAAAATATCTACTTTTTATTATTTTATTTTATTTTTTATAAAATGTATTAAGTCTGATTAACAATAACTTAAATAAATGTTCAATTTAATCTGTGAAATTAGTTAATTAGTAAATATAAAATTTAATAAACATTTTTAAAATTACAATATTTTATGTACACAAATGCAAGATTTATAAAAATGAGTTATAAACACACACATTTTAAAATTGCAGTACTTTATTTCACTTTTTGACATACACAAATTTTCCTTTGTTTTTTTCCATTTTCAAATACAAAACTTAAAAATTACATTATTTTATGTACACAAAGTTTCTTTTTTTTTCCTTGAACAAATACATATGTGTAAAATTTAATTAAAATATGTATTTCTAGTTTATTTTTTAATACCTATTTACTTACACAAGTAATTTACTTTATACAACTTTAGAATAAACATAAGAGAAAATTTTAAACTCACCTAGAAACTGTGAAATGTCCATCGATGAAACAAGTTGGATTTAAAAGCTCCAAAGCTTTTAAATTGGATGTCAGTCAGGGTGGCTAGTGAATTCAAATTTTAAAAACACCTCCTTTTATAATTGCTTGTGCTTTGAGTTGGTTGGACATAGTGATACAAGTCCAACTGATTATTAAAGACAAAACATTGCTCTATAAGGTATAATTTTGATTTTTAAGAAGTGAATTTCTCTAGTCCACTGAAGTTTTCACCTTGGAAATTTTTTGTGAAAAATTCTCAAATTTTATTTTAAGCCTACCAAATTGACAAGTGTCCTCTTTTTTTTAAGATGGAACTATTTTGATATGCGTAGGAACACACAACTCAGTGCAACAAGTTTCAAAACATAAACATAAAATTCTCTGATTTTAAAATGCAGAAAAAGAAGCGCCCATCACTAAAATGTGACTTCATTTAAAGAGACCTGGAATAAAAACTAATTATCAATTGTATCTTTATAAAGACAAAACATTAAAATTTTTTTACATACTAATTTTATCAAAATAACTTTAAAAATACTCAAGATGTTGCCAGTTGAACTTGAAGGAAATTTCACTATTTTGACCCATTTTTGCACTGTAAATTAGGCAGGTTTGGAATTCCTAATATTACAGAATTGATAATTCATTTATTTCAAAATAAAACTCAACATTATATTGGGACAGAAAAGTTGTAGCATTTTTCAAGTGAATTTCAAAGGTAATATTTAGATATTTGTACATTGATTTATTCAATCACATGTGTATCATATTGCTCCATTACCTTTTGCAATCTTTGACACCGCTTCATGATTACATCCTCCAAAAACTTAGACTAGTTCATCACCCTGAAAAATGCTAAGTGGATTTTACAGATTTCCAGTTCTTCCTCATAAAATAATTTTTTTTAAAGATCGAAATAAGTGGTGCATGGTGAGGTGAGTACAGTGGTTGTGCTAGGATGTCCCAACCAAGCTGTACCAATTCCTACCAGGGATACAAAGAGATGTGAGGTTTGGTTTTTGTCTTGATGGAAGATAACACTCTTCTGATTGATCAATTCTGGATGCTTTGATTTTTGCCTTTATTCAATTCAAATACAAACAGTAGTTATCTGAATTCAACCTGATTTTAAAGAAAGTGTATGTAATACATAATGCCTTTCCAATCCCCCCAGGTACATAACGTTCTTCAAATGCAGTTGGGCTTTTTGCTTTCCCTAGAACTTTTCTCAATCCACATTGTTGTAAGCAATCCATTTTTCATCATCTGTGATGTTCTTTTCAGAAATGGATAATGGAAATAAAGTCCATTAAATTTTTTCATCATGGCAATGTGTGTAGCCAAGTGTTTTCAAAAACCGTACAACATTCATGAAATATGAAGTATCTCTGCAACATGTCATGTGATATGAATAATTTTGAATCTGCATTTTGATTTGATCATCATCAAAAACTGCAGGCTTTCTTCAGATTTCCAGATCAATATTTCCACTTCTGAACCTATAAAATCACTTAATAAACAGTACTTTCAGCTATGCTTCCACCTCAAAACAGCACTCATCTTCTTTTTTCTGTTTGTACAGCATTTTTTCATTTCAGGAAATAAAGGAAAATAAATACTGAAAATGCATCTCATTTTCCTCCATTTTCAATTTTACCATTAAACACATTTCAAATTTGCAATCCACACACAAATCAGATAGAAAGGCACATTGTAATGCCACCTTTCAGAATATGCATATGTGATAAATGTTAGTTACATGTGGAAAAAAAAAAAAATCACCTGTTCAGACATCACCTATTGAAAAATGTTATGCACTTTTATTCCAATCCAATACTTGTTACTGAACATTGTCAGTAACAAGAAAAAGAAAAATAAGAGGCAAGATTAGTTACCATTGTCTTCTTGCTGATTTTATTTACATTTATGGTTGACAAAGGTACAATATGGGTAAGAGTTCTACATCTTACTAGGTCAATACAGGATATAAATATTGTCGAAAACAAAAGATAAATGAAAGTAAATGTTTGTCCAAGCAAATTGTTCTTAAACTGAATTTTCTCTCTTTCATGCAGCCTTCCCAAAAACACGAAGCAAAAGAATCTGAGATAAATCAACCATTAAAGGAAGTTGCTAAGGAGACCAAAAAGACATCTCATGCTGATGACCTTCTTAATCTAAGTGAGTTTATGACCTTTACTTTTGACTGCCTATTGGTTTATTGATGAAAATATATAAGCACAAACTGATATTATGAAGGTTTATTTTCTTTTTCCTTTTCCACTTTACTGAGTTGCTCAATATGCTTTAGATAGTTGCAAAAAAAATTTACAAATTTCTGTTTTTTACTGTTTTGTTTTTTTTTTTTTTTTTTTATTGTTATTCTGAGTACAGTTGCTTGCTATTCTTTGATTTATGTTTTTCTTTTTTGTTTAACATGCTATTTGTTATAAAAAGCAATAATGTAAGAATTAGCAAAGACCCTTTTTATTGAATTATTTAGATACATGAAAATTTTATATTTTTTATATACAGAAAAGAAATTTGATAATTTCAAATTTTGAAGACTGCCATTTTCAGTAGCAAAGGAATACAAAGAACAAGTGGTTAGAGATGCCTTTATAACTAGAATTAGTAAGCTATATGATTTAACTACAACTTCTAGAAAATGGGGAAACTTGCCATTAATGAAACCCTAAATAAAGTTTATAACCTAGAAAGGTCACAAAAAATGTCAAGTATATATATCATGACATGGATAATTCACAAGAAGCTGGAACCATAAGGGATATGGAAGATACAAATGCAATTGCAATACAGAACAGTTGTAAAAATAAAAAAATAACTAGTGTATGTGTATAAAACAGACACCCAAGAAAAGTATGTCTAGTTCAGGAGGCTGTCTTACTTATAGAAAGATTGATCTCAACACCAAAGTATACCAATCAAAAAGAATAACAAGATTCTACTACTTCAATTACAATACAAGAAAGAGTTATCATTATAAATAAATATGGAGAGAAAGTTACTCTCAGGCAAGGCAATGAGAAGATAGTTGAAGCCCTGATCATCACCATCATCCTTTGACCACCCTATGGTTGGTTTCACACTGTTAGTTCCTATATTACTGTCCCCAGATCCCCAATGTCTAACCCTGAGTCCCGAGCTCTAGTGTCTGGGGAAAGTCAATTTTCATGAGAAGACACTTCCAAAATGATGCCATAAGAGTAAGGATGAGATGACTTCCTGTCCACTTGGTGGCAGTGACTGGCAAACCTGGTCTCAGTTCTCTGTAGATTAAGTGTTGCATGCAATCTCTAACCGATGTTCTGGATTTTTCTTAGTATGTATGTGCTCTATCCAATTATCTTTCACGACAAACAGATAATGTCCAAGTTTCTGATCTATACAGTAGGACTGGTTCAATCAATGTTCAAAAAGTTTGGACATTTGAGGAGGATGGAAGATTCAAGTGCCAAATCTTGTGAAGTTTTTTCCACACATCCCATGCAAGAGTTTTGTGGATGTTGAAGTCTTTTGGGGAATCTATGATGTGAAATCCAAGATATTTAAAATCTCCAACTCTGTTGATGGATGCATTATTGAGTGATTTCAACTCAGATGGTTCAGGGGAGGTTGTGGTGTATTCTGTCTTACACTCGTTGCAATAGAGATGGAGGTCACCTGGGATAACATTACTAAGAAAAATGATTGCTCAGACATTGAACACTCTAGTGAAGTCAAAGAGAATGAGGAATCTGAGAAATTAGAATATGCTGAGAAGCCCTGTGTTGAGTCAAAACTCGTGCCTCTTCAACTCCATTGATCATCATGGAACATTCTTCCCCCTCTTGAACACTCATGCAATATTACATAGCAGTGTAAATGTGTGTATTTACCGTACTTACCCGAACTTACCTACTTTGCCAATCTGAATGTGTGGGTGGTGTAATGTATAGTGACCCAGAATGAAAAATCTGAAAGTCAAGTTTGAATTTCAGTTGATTTCTTTACATTCACTTACATGCAAATACTCTTAGGAAATTATATGAATCTATCTAGAACTGTATCTGAAAAAAATCCTTATTTTCACAAATTGTTAATGTAATATTTATTTGCAAAAAAATAAAGAAATTATTCTTACAATCTTACATTCTTATAATGTTTTCGCTTTAAATAACTAACGTAGGGCTAAGCTATAAAAAAAATAAAACACCATTGCAAATCCATATTAAAGAATCTGTTAGGGCACAGGCCAACACATTTTCCCTATTGTTGTTATGGTCCAGTTAGAGCACAAATACTTTTAACTAATTCCTGTATTATAAATTGTGAATTGACTATGGATGATTAAATTTGATTACCTTACAATATAATTGATAATACACTAATAATACTTAAACCAAAACAAATGTTAAAGATAATCTTCATTTTATAATCTTATTCCTACTATAGGTTCACCTGGTGAGTCTGGTGGTGCAAAAAATGTCAGTTTGCTTGATGATTTCCTTGGAGCCAGTAGTACACCCACTGCAAATGCTACATCTACTCCTGCTCAAAATCAGAGCAATGGACAGACGAACACAACTACAAGCACTTCAAGCCAGCAAACATTCCAGCAAGTAAGAATTTAATTCAGATAATAAGTACTTCTGTAACTTTACACTGCTATCATCATGTGTTTAAAATATTCTGTCAGCACTTGAGAATATTAAATGCTCTAATTTCACTTGAGGCTTGAGTATATTAAGATAAAGTTTGCTTAATCTGCTATAACTGGGGCTCTCCATTCAAATCAAGCCCTTTGTAAATGTTACATTCTCAAATATCTGAACCTTTCATTGGAATATTTGTAAAATATGATATACCTAATGGTATGGTCTGCTGCTAAGTTTACTTATGAAATGATTTTTTTTTTCATCCAACTAGTGGTTTGTTTGTTGTTTTTGTTTTTTTTTGTTTTATTCAAATCATGTAGGACAATATTATAGCACAACACAACAATGAGAAAGAAGTTTGTCTATATCTCTGACATGAGGTATTATGATTACCTACATTATTTACATTATTCGGACTGTTATCCTCCTCATCATTGCCATATGATTCACAATGTTTCAGCCGTTGTACCCTCCAGCCTTCTTCATGTGTCCTCAAGGACACACAGCCCAGTGGATAAAGATGTTGGTTAGATCCAGTGACTAGACCCAAAGGGCTGTGAGTTCAATACCAGGCCAGAGCAGTAGTGAATCAAACTTGGAGAGTTGAGTTAAAGTGAAATAACTGAGACATCCTGAAGAGGCATGGAACTAGAACAATCTACCCAGGTGGATGAAATAAAGGGTTCAGTTTGAAATACCAATCACGTTGTGTATATGGCAATAAAGATGAGGATAAGTTTGAATAATGTGAGAAGAATAAGTTAATAATGAAATTGCCAATATTAATTTTTAGCAAATTCTTATAACTTTGATATTTTTACATTAATTTTAAAAATAGATTATATTTCCTCTCATTCAGAATGGGGCATTTGATGACTCTCTGTTTACAAGTGCCAGTACAGAAATAAAGAGTAATACCAGTGATAAAACAACAAAAGAATCAATTATGGCTTTGTATGGTTCTTCTAACCAGCAACAAGGCATGTATGGTGTCCCTGGTAAGTAAAATTTCTTCATCTTTATGCTCTACAAATGTTGAATACTAAACTTTTATCCCTTGATAATGTAAAGCACACTAGACTACTTTTCAAGGGTTGGGGTATTGGTTTATCTTTTTTACAGCTTAACTTAATTTTACTATATCATAAATTGATCATTCAGATTTCAGTTTATGACCTGTGTATAATTAAGAACATTTTCTTTTTGCTTCTTTGTCTTTCCAGTACTCTTAAATATATGTCTTTGCTAATTAATACATAAAATTTAAAGGAATTTCATGTTTGGTAGTTTCAAAAAGGTTGAAATGCCTCTGTTTGTTTAGTTTTTTTTTTTTTTAAGTTTGTAAAATGATCTACGATACATGCAATAAAGTTGCAGTTTGAAAAAAAAGCAATATTTTTCATGTTATGTCAAAATTATAAATGGAATGTCTAACCCATAAAATTTTTAACAGCTGTTTTTTAGTGTTTTTGCTTAAATTTTTTCTACCTAAACTCTTTCCATCCATGGCATCTTTATCAAAGTTGATTAATAAGTGAGCATTTAGCAATGATATTCCATTATATTTAAGATAATCTATGTCAGTTTTAACACACAGAATTATTATTATATGCATTATTTTGACCAGTATGTCCATCATCTTTGGATGACGGACATACATTATATCCACAATGTTTCAGTTGGTTTGAATAATAAAGCATATAATAGATTTAAGGTGTACAATTTGATAAGTGAAACTATAATTTTACTTTAAAATGTTAATATTATTTTACTTATCTCTCAAATTTTGACAATTTTAAATTTTCTGGGGAGCCAATGATTTGCCTAGTGTATAGAAACCCCCTCAGGAAAATATAGTTCTCAGAAGTTTATTCAATCTGATGAAAATAATACATAAGGTTAAAAAAAAAGACTAGATTTTCATAGAACTTACCTAAGCTTCACATTTTAACCTGATTTATAATAGAGATTTAGTCCATTAAAAACTAAACTTTTAGAAAAATCAGATAAGTGTAATCATACACAGATACAAATTGATTATTCAGGGATTTTATATTTGAGAAGCTCAATATGAAGGTGGACAATTGGAATTTAATATTAACTTCCTTAATGCACATTAATTTCTACTAAAATTTTGAAATTTCTTTTAAATCTTTTTACAGTTTAACTATTCAAATAATTATTTTTCTATTATATTTTCATAGGGTTATTTATTTAATGTGACATATCCATCATTTTGTTTTTTGATTTCTTTTTTTTTTTTTTTTTCTTTAAATTCAAAAATATAGAGAGTACAATTTAATGGGGTTTTTTTTAGTTTGCTTTGAAGGTTTAGATGTATGTATATCTGGCAGGAGGCATTTTGAAAAAAATTCCTGAAACTTGTCTGTTTTCTCCACTTGACCCTCTGTCCATCCTTTCTCTTTTCATTGTGTTGATTGGTTGGTGCTTAACCCAACTTTGCAGGTGGACAATCATCATCTCTGATGACCTCAATTGCTGGGACTATACCTCAGTCTATCTACAACATGAACTCACAGGGTCTCCTGTATATGGCTCCACAGCAGATACAAGCTGACCACTCAGCTATGTACAAGTTTTTATATGCAGATACCACCACAACAGGTACTTCTTTCTTCAGGTTGAACTGGGAACACTTGATCTCATTCCATTTTTTTTTTCTTCCATTCTCAGCACCCAAAACCAACTCTTAATCCTGCAGCACTTCTCATTTTCTCCTTTCAGAAAGGTTTCTTTCTCCTCAGTTCCTGTTGCCACTGCTTCTGCTATGGCTGTTGTTTTTTCAAGTGATCCATCCATGGTTATTTACTTCATCTGTAGTAGTGAAACCATTATTATGAAATTTATTTTACTTTTTACCTCCCATTATAGTTAATCTTTTATACAAAAATAATTATACATAAGAGTTTGTGGAAAAAGGCCCAAGTATTGGATGTATGCAAAAGTTTCAATAAAAAACTAGTTTTCAAAAAAAATATACTAAGATTTTTAAAAAAACCTAATAATATTCACTCTCTCCTAAGTATTGATTCCTATTCGGTTATTTTTATTTTTTATTAGACAAATGTAACAAAGTCATTTATCCAACTTGTTACCATAGATTTTACCTATAAAGTTGTAAGCTTGGGATCATCCTGAAAATTGAGAACCAAAATAACCATTATTGACACCTCTTGCTTTTTATTTTAAAAATGACAAAGTGGTGGAAACCTGTATGAAGATGTGTTGTGTATGTGAAGGATGCTGTCGTGGATCATGTGCCAGAAGTGGCTTTCAAGAGCCTTACTCTGGCCAGTCATCTGAGATTATCAGTGAGAAAATGTAGTTGGCACCAAACTGATACATGATGATTGCGGATATTCTCCAAATATCCAAATCAAGTGTTGAAGACCATCTACATAAATTTGGTTACATCAACATGCTTGATGTATGAATCCCACACTCTTTGAATGAGGCTAACCTTGCCCAACAAATTCCCATCTGCAATTTAACACAAACGTGAAGAAAACTTTTTTTCTTTTTTTTTTTTTCTAAGAGAAAAGTGACAGGGGACAAAAAATGGATAATCTATACAGGGTTTGTACAGGTCCTGGAAACCTTGAAAAGTCTTGGAAAAGTGACAGGGCTTTTCCAGGGCTTTAAAAGTCCTGTAAATTAGGCTGCCCACGAATCCCTTTTCTCAATTCATGAAAATCAAAATGCCAAATCCCAGAAATCTGGCTTTTTTGCAAGCAATAATTGTCCTTTTAAGAAAAATGTTTTTTAGTCATCAGTAATATTTGGCAATTATTGCAAACAGTGGTTTGTTTCCTTAATGAAAAAAAAATTGTTACAGATGATAATGTAAAAAGATGTCTTTCCCAGAAAACAAGTCAGCAAGTCTGATTGTGATGATATCATCAGTCAGTACACAGAGTTCAAGGAGGAGGCTGCTGGAAATATTGCTTTCAAGAATTTCAGCAAGCATGAAGATCGTTTGGACACTTTGTTCTACTAAATAAATAATATCAAAAACTGTGGAAAGTTGTTTGCAGGTTACTGGTACTCTTTCATGGACAGACCTCAGTGAAGAGAGGTTTCTCAGTCAATAAGGAAATTTTCACTGACAATATAAAACACTCTGGTTGCACAGTACATTATCCTGGGTTATTTGGCCACAGTTGGAGGTGCTGGGAATGTTCCCATGACTAAGGCTCTTCTCTGCAGTGCTTCCAATGTCAGAACAGCATACAATCAATACCTTGAGGTGGAGAAGTAAAAAAGACTGGAAGAAGCAGCTGAACAAAATCTGAAATCAATACTTATAGAAAATGAAGAACTGAAGACCAAAAAACACAAGATTTGTTCAAGACAGCTATGCAAAGAAAGCTGAGCAAACTCAGAACTTCGCACTTATCACAAAGTTCAATTCCATGTGAAGATCTTCAAAGGACAAATCCATAGAGATATCAAAATTAGAAGAGGAGCTGAATGGTTAACTAGATGAACTGGAAAAATGTTCTGTACCATGTGCAACAAAAGCCATGAATAGTAGGGGTAGTTAAAATTTGTAGTCTTTAGAAAATGTGCAGCAGTCAAGAATTTTTGTGACATTCACAAACCCATGCATAGATAGCTGAAATGTGTTCAGTCAGAATTAAAGTGTGTAATTCAAAATGTTCAAGTGTAGTAGAACTTCAAACTGTGTAGAATGCTACCAAAAATATGTAACATAACCAGGTATGCATTCAGTATTGATTTTCTAAGCATTGCTTAGATGTGGCACAAGGCTGATACTATGGGGCACCCAATGAGGATTGAACTCACTATTCAGTCATAACAGTTTTTGCGAGACAAGCTTGCTAACCATTACACCACGCCGAGGTGCCCCAGGTATGCATTCAGTTGTGTTTTAGCCTTCCACACTATGATTTCTTGACTGCTTTCAACTGGTCCAAGTGACATGAATTATTGGAACCAACTGTAGCTCTTCTTTGAACATCTCATCTGTCAAACTGTTAAAAGATAAATCACAAAGTTTGTGTTTTGAAATTGATGACCATTCACTTTATATGTGCACATGCATGCCAGTTCCAGTCCTTGAAACTTAACATAATCTTGGAAAAGTCCTTGAATTGTTTTTACACAGATCAGTGGGAACCCTGTTTATAACAATGTGAAGCACAAACATGAGGGAAGTGTAGCGAATTTCTACAAAAAAACCTCCAAAGCAGGACACTCAAAGGTTATGCTTTCAATTTGGTGGGATTGGAAGGGTTCTTTTAGAGGATTTTTCCCCTACAGACAGGACCATCAGTTCAGATGTGTACTGTCACCAGTTGGATAAATTAAACATAGTGATCCACCAGAAGTGTCCAACACTTGCTAATCTGCAAGGTCTTTTATCAAACAATGCCAGATAGCACACCTTGAAGATGCAGCAGAAGTTACTGGTGTTTGGCTTGAAAGTTTTGCTACACCTTCCATATTTGCCTGATCTTGTGCTTTCCACCTGTTTTGGTCTCTTCAAAATTCATTGGATGAACAGACCGTCAACTCTGAAGAGAAGGTAAAATTTCACCTGGAAGATTTTCTTTTGCCAATAAAGACAAGAAATTCTTAATTAATCTGCCCACAATATGGCAAAAGATACTTGAATGAAATGGTAATTATCATTGATTGAATAAATGGCTTTGTATTTAAAACTTGTCTTATTTTCACTTAAAAAAAATTGGCTGACTTTTTGGTCAACCTAATGCATAAATATAATTTTATTCTTTTCTTCTAAGAATTATAAAAATTTTAATTCTATCTAATAAATCATTTTCATGTATGGATATTCACTAAGCTTAATTTAATCTGGCACAAGGCCACAATAATAGAGTACTCTGTAAGGCTTGAATTCACAACACTAATGAAATATGCTTGAAATGAAATTGGTTCCTTATGTTTTATCCTAAAAATTAATTATTTTTTGTTATAAATTTGTCTAAATTCTAAAGTGTCATTTATCCTTATTTAATGAATTATTTGAATTAGTGGTCTCTTTGCTGTTTTTTATCACTGTTATAAATATAAAATATTCAAATTAAATACTGAGGGTAGACATTATAGGACCTATATGGAAAGAAAAAATGCATACCACCCATGCATCTAGTTATTTTGCATATGTTGGCCCATACTGATCTATTCAGTTTTATCTAGCTGATTCTTTCCAGATTGTTTGCTTCATGATCACTATTTACTGAAATTTGTAATGCCTAAATGAAGCATTTATAAGAGAAAAGTGTTTCCATGATAAATTATACATGTGATGAAATGTAGTAATAAAAATAAATAAATAAAAAGCTAAGCTGAGAATACTACTCTGAATTACTCACAGAATAACAGCTGTCATTATATTGCTCAAATATTTCACATCTGATAATTGCTAATGTGGTGAAGCTTTGTTTATCATGTCTAAAATGTTCATTAATAATTATCATCTATGATTACTTATTTCTTGAATCTGTAAAGCTATGAATCTTTGATGATTGATTTTATTTCATATGAAATTTCATATTTCTATGAATTCATTAGTGCATCACCTATATTTTTTTAAATCCCCTTATTTGAGGTTTTTTATGTTCAGCGGGACAAACTGTTTTGTTTTGGGTCTGTTCTCATTTTGGTGTCTTTGATTTGGGGTATTTTTCCCTTTTTCTTTTTTTTTTTTTTTTCTCTCTTTTCTAATTTCTTGCTTGAAAATAAAAAATTTTGATGTTCTTCAATAATTGCATTTATATTCTCTCTCTGTAAATTTCATTAGTTTTTATTGAAAAAATTATTTGTATTATATCTATGAAAAGGTTTATATTTTCTTCTGGTTTATCTATTCTCACAAATGACAAATCTGTTTTCTGTTGTTCTTTATATGTACATTATTGTATGTTTTTTATGAAAAATATTTTATTAACGATGCTTTATATCAATCTTGTTTATTCATGGTCTCTCACATTATTAGCCACTTTTAATTTTTCCTAATTTTTTAAGGTAAATTAATGAATGGATTCACAGAAATGGTTTCACTATTAATGTGCTGGATATGTCACATAATATGCATAAAGTAAATTAGAAGTCATTCTTATGATATGGTAAGTTTTATGAATTTTACCAGGTGTTCCAAGTTTTAGCCAGATTATTGAAACTCCAAGAAACATTGTTATAATTTTTAATTACAACATAATTACAGAACATGTACAACATTTACAAAAACAAATGTTTTGAAGATAAAATGGAAAATAGTATCATTGTAATAATGACAAATTTGCAGACAACATTCATGTGAAATGTATGCTCCATGTTCTGAAACTAGATTAGAACTTACTCCATTGATTTTTGTGAGCTCCTATTTCTCCAAATGAAACAAGTTGGACAACATTCAGAATAGCACTCCAAAGTTAATCTATACTGGTAAGCTGCCACTAGCCAATGTCAATCTGTTTCTTCAAAATTCTCACTCCAAATTTTCAATTAGGTTATTGTCAGATGAACAAGCCTACCACTTCATCAAATTTAATTCAGTTATCCATTAGATTTATTTTGCCAAATAACATGGAGCCTTATTTTGTGGTCCTTCAAAAAAA